ATATATATATATATATATATATATTAAAATAAGGACAATGGCAAATTTCGATGAATATAATTGGTATAAACGCATACAGCGACCGCTTCGAGACACCCGCTCACTCATTTATGCGACCGTCCCCATACTACTTCTGTCTCCTTTGTCCGAGGAACAGAGCCTCCACACACACACTCTCTCCCTCTCTCCATCCTCCCTCAAAAGTGCAGCCTTCAGACTTGGTCTCTCTCTCTCCTCCCTCAAAGTGCAGGGCATCTCAGATCCGGCAAAACATTTCTAAACCCGCTGGCTCTGCGATCAGAGGAGGTAAGGGCTTTTGTTTTCTCGGGGTACTTCTTGTGTCAGCAAGTGAAGCTCGTGCTCCTTTTTATCTATCGCTCTTATGATCTAGCCAGGAAATGCATCTGTTTTCGTTGATTTTTGGGGATCAGGGAGGTCTTTGCGAGGGTAGAGTTGAGATATTTGAAGCTTAGATTTATAATTTTGAAGAGATTTGTCAATGCATCTTCGTTGTTGATTCCTTGGCGAAGATTGCGCTGGTGTCGAGTTTGTCTGGCCTTTTACTCGTGCTATCGGTTTGCTTGGTATGTTAAGGCTGCGTTCTTTAAGTTCGTGAGTTGAAGAATTTGTTGGATCTCTGTTATAGTTTTCTGATTTTATCTTATTTGGACGTTTCTGTGGTGGTATGGTGTTGTAAGATTAAGTTTAGGTTTTGATTTTCCATTGTTGGTTTTCTTTTACAGTTTGAAAGTTTGCTCTCGAATTTGGTAATTTGGTAATTTGCTGTACATCAGCTGTTTCTTTGACCTGTTTATGGGGTTTAAAAAAAGTCGCTATCAGGGAATTTAAAGGCGCTGCAATTAGGTGTGGAGTTTAAAAAACTCCGGCTTTGAATCGGTCAATTTGCGCTGTAAATTGGTGATATTTTCCCATGAACCTAAAACACAGGGGCCGGGTTGTGGTGAATCGTATGTAACTTGGCTCTGTGGGATCCGGCATTATTACATGCATCATTTTGGCCATTTGTTGTACTCAGATTTGCACATGGTCAATTATTATTATTATTATTAGAGAAAATGTGGGACAGCTTTTTTCGGATCTATTCTACTCGTCTACTTTGGCATGGGTCAGAGTTAGAATATATGAATATATCAATGATATTTGCTGATTTGCCAATCTTTTTTACGGACTGTAACTAATTACTCTGTCTTCTTTTCTCTGATAGTTTCAGAACTTGTTTCCATTACCAGATATCAAAACGTCTACTCTGCTTCATTTATAGGAAGATTGCATGCCTCATCAACCTTCTGGAGTACACTGTATTTCAAAGTTTTATAGGTTTTGCTGATGACGTGAATTTTGACAAGCAATCTTTTTATATAGATTTGCTGGTTGCTTGGAGATTTAAATGGCCATCACTGACATTCGAAGTCAGCTACTAGGTGAAACCACCTGTGGTTCATTACTTCAGCAACTGCAGGTAATTTTGATCCATTTGAAGTACTGTTTGTGACATCATCGAGGTTAATGATCTATGAATTGAGCTACCTGTTTTGTATTAACTTAAATTTCAGCAAATCTGGGATGAGGTTGGTGAGAGTGATGAAGAACGTGATAAAATGCTGTTTAAAATAGATCAGGAGTGCTTGGATGTCTACAAGAGGAAAGTGGATCAGGCCTCAAAGTCAAGGGCTCAGCTTCTTCAGACCTTGGCTGATTCAAAAGTAGAGTATGCTAGGCTTCTTTCAGCACTTGGAGAAATAACTTGTGTTGGCATTGTAAGTTATAGATAATTTCTCAAGTAATTAGGTAATATCTGGTTTTGATTTTTGTTCTTGTTTCCTTGGCTTTTGTAAGGCTGTTTGGATCGTTAGGATATTATCAATCTTGTTTCAATGGCCAACCTTTGTTGTTTTTTCCTTTTTTTTTTTCTTTTTTGCATCATTCATTTTTGTCCTGCCTCAAAATCTGCATCTTATGTCTTACAATAATGTGGGGTTCTTTTTCGTTGGATTAAACTTTTATTCAGCCTTGAAGAAGTGATAGAGAAGTTAAATTTAATCATTGTACAGGGCTAGTGTGCGTGTTCTATTAGGAAGCAATGCCAAAGTCTTATACGGAAGTCTCTTTCAGGATTCAATACAATCAATAAACAGAGTAATAACAAATAGGCCAAGCATCAAAATACACTATGATTTATGTACTTTGGTAAAATAATAGCTTGTCTCTACAAGTAAGGAGAGATAACTTGATCCGGTAAGAAAACATTTATACAAATAAAAGGGCACTAAAAAATACTTTCTTGTGCAGTCTTTCTTACCAGAGAATGAAAGCCCTAGATCTCTCAAACTAAAGAATAAAGAGAATAATAGAGGAGAGTGAATGAACATAAAAGAACCCACTTGAAAATTTCTCCAAGGAGTAACTTCCTACATATTTATTGAATCATTAAAAATTTTCCAACACAATTGTGCTTTCACCGCATCAAAATGGCACTCCAAAATCACAAAATATTTTTCTTCATTTCCTTTTTGCTTTCTTTCTTATTCTCTCTATTTCTCACTCATTTTCATTTGTCTATTTCTTCTCTACTTATCCAACTAACTACCAAGTTGACAGTTGTCATCATATGTCTAATCATTGCTTCTTTGTATAATCATAGGGAAATTTATACTTGAATTATGCAATTAAAACATTCTCTAAAAGGCTTGCAGATGTGATTTAGCCAAAAGTAAAGGGTTATTTTTTTAAAATTCAGAACAATATTGTTTTTTTTTCCTTATTTTTCCAAATCATTAAGTATGAATAACAAATTTTTCCATCGATTCAATATCATGGAAATAAATTTTGAATCTTCTTTATGACCCTTCTTTAATCAAATCTCCTAGATCGCCCAAATTTCAATTGGCTGAGCACCACGAAATCTTGTAACGTTAAAATGATGAATAAACTTAACATCACAGTAGAACTTTGAAGCACATTTGTTGTAGTCCATTGGTATCAAAAGTGTACCTGCAACTGATTTTTGTACACTAAAGTGACTTTCCTCTTTTTCTGAATGTTGCAATTAGAAAGGATGCTATTAGGACAAATTATGCAGCTTGAGCTTAATCCTTTTTATAATCTCCATAAGTCTTCCCCTCAACTTGTGCCTTTGTTATGAAAGTTGACATGTTTAAAAACCCAACCTTTTTTTGTTTTATTAAATAACAATGCTTCCAAAGAAGATGATGAAACCAATGTAACTTCATTCAAAGTTTTACTCAGCCACACATAGAATCTACAAACTTATTTTGCTTTCAAGTAATGAATACGCCCGTGTAAACTTTAAGGACTGCAGCATCCTGGAGAATACTCATCCCACTTCCTGGAGTGCGCTTGAAGATAATTGATTTTTTGTAAGGTGTAGTATATACGCCAGTCATTCCTATTTCTGTTGGATTTCATCAGGGATTGGCTTTAAGCCCGTATTTTTTTTCTTTGGCTATGGATGGTCTTACTGGACATATACAGGAGGGATGTACCTTGGTGTATGCTTTTTGCTGATGATATCCTTCCGTGGATAAGACGAGTGAAAAAGCCCAGAAAAAATTTGAATTATGGAGGTCAACATTAGAGTCTAAAGGTCTTCATTTGAGTAGAACTAAAACTGAATGCATGGAATCTAATTTTAATATTAGTAGCTCTAGTGACAGAAGTGTAAATTTAGATGATCAAATTATTAAAAGGTGTGAACGATTTTGATATCTCGGGTTTGTTGTTCAAAGCGATGGTGATATAGATTGGGATGTTAATAGGAGAATTCAAGTTGGTTGGTTGAAGTGGAGGAATGCTTCGGGCTTCTTGTGTGATAGAAAAGTACCGCTTAGACTGAAAGGAAAAATTCATAAGACGGTGGTGAGACCTGCAATTCTCTATGGCTCTGAATGTTGGTCTTTAAAAGAGAATCATAATACTAAGTTAAGTGTTGCCGAGATGAGAATGATTAGGTGGATGAGTGGCTTTACACTTAGAGACAAAATGCAAAATGATCATATCCGTGATAGGGTTGGTGTAGCTCCTGTGACAAACAAAATTAGAGAAAGTCGTCTTAGATAGTTAGGTCACATTAAGTGTCGACCATTTGATGATCCGATTAGGAGAGTTGATGTTTTAGATTTGACTTATATTAAATGTAAATATGACACTAAATAGGTCGCAATGGAGAAAAAGGATTCATGTAGCCGACTCCACGTAGTGAGATTAAGGTTTTGTTGTTGTTGTAGTATATACTCCAGTCAATTTTATATCAAGACGAGAATGAATTTTCAATCTCATAGTATCATTACCAATTGTCTTGCTCATTGAAGTATTTCCCCATGCAAAATTAGCCATTACGATATATGGAAAAATTTTCTTATGACGACGAAAGGGGCAGAGAAGTTGAATCCGAGATCCACTTATCATTACATCAATCTTTAATAGTAAACAGAAGAGCATCCCTTAGATCTGGACTTGACCAATTTGCAATAACACTTAGTTATTAACCTGTCTACTTGGCAAAAAAAAATAAATAACTTATCAACCTGGTAGTTTTTATGGTCATGTTAATTTTGTCCTTTTTAAATATTGACTCTTTTATTGTTTTTTTTTTTTTTTAGAATAATCTCATTTTTTTCTCTTTTTTTCTCTATTCGACTTGCTCCTGCCAATCTTAAAGGTAGAATCCCTAATGGTCTCTTTTAAGCTAATATCGTCACCTTTTTTTTTCTCTTACAACGTCAAGGTTAGCAATCATATCCTTAAAAACATAAGTGTAATCTAAATATTTTTAATTTAATTATGTCTTTACCATACAGTATAATGCAACAAATATAGCTATAAGGCAAATAATTCAAGGATGACAAAGATTGTTTCTCATTATTAGCAATTACTTTAACATTTTTTTAGATTTTTAATATTGGAATTAAACTCATTAACATGCGATTTAATGGTGCATTTAATATTGGAATTAAACTCATTAACATGTGATTTAATGGTGCATTTGAAGCAAATATAGTCTCTTGTTTTGAGAAGGTTTGTTGGATAGGCTTTCGGTAATGCATAAAAACTCCAATTTGAGTCACAGTCCCCTTGCAGATTTTTTTTCTTTTGAGTCCTCCACAAGACCTCATTCACCAAACATATTTGGTCCAATGGGAGAGCTTTTTAATTAATCTCTATTATATATTTTCACTCATAGACTTGGTCGTGTTAAAATTCCCTTTGAGTTCTTTCACAAATTCTTATTAATTCAACACACCTTATATATTGGTTCTCTAAAATTTAATACTCGTTGAGCAATTAAACTTCTCAACCTCATACTTCATATCCATCACTTTCTGCATTAAGATATGATGTCAATTGTTAAGAAAAATTGCTTTTGTGAAATTGCCTACCAAAAGTGGATCATGAAGACGGTAATAATAAACCAAGCACCGCCAAAAAATATTAAGATTTATGTGGTTCTGCTTAAATATAGCTTTCATCCATAAAAAAGGATTCAATTTATTATGGAGAAGCAAATTAGGTTTATAAATAAAATGGAAACTAAAACACAGTCGTCCCTAAAATCTAGATGCATCCAATATCGCCAATACAGTGAAACCTCGAATCTTCCAAATTGAATAGGAAAGTGAATAAAATAAAATAAAGGAAATAACAAACAAATAAGGTTAATTAATTCCAGTATTTACTTAAATATTTCTTAAAATGGTACCTTCCAGCATGTTTATAGATTCAGAAGTTTTGGGCAACCATGCTTTGATTGCCAATATCCAGTAAAAAAAAATGCTCTTTCCCCTCTTTTTTTTTTTTTTTTTTTTTTTTTTTTGAATCTCTCTAGTTCCGCTGTGCACTCGTTTTTTTTTTCATATGCCTAGACAGCTCTCTGGTTCACATTCCCAACAAGGATATGAATAATTGCTCCTTTTTTATGTAATTATATTCATTGAGGTAATAAAGAGGTAATTTTCAAATCTTATTAAGATTTAAATTTTGAATTGAAGTGATTCAAAATAACAAACCTAACAAATTTTATCCAAATAAGATAATTGATAATTTGTTTTAATATATAAACTACCTATTTGTTTATCTTATCAAAATTATTGATAAAAATTCCTAAGATTATATTTCTAAAATTTATCTCACATTATACTTCACCAGCCCGAGAAGTCAACTGGAACAATTAAGGAACAATTAGCGGCCATTGCACCAGCGTTGGAACAATTATGCAAGCAGAAAGAAGATAGGGTGAAGGAATTTGCTGATGTACAATTACAGATTCAAACTACGTGTGCAGAAATAGGTGGTACTCTCAGAGTAGGCGAAAAAGTGGGGATGCCAGTGGTTGATGAGAATGATTTATCACTGAGAAAACTGGATGAGTTTCAATATCATTTACAGGAACTTCAAAAAGAAAAGGTACTAATTTTTATGTAATTAGTTAGCTTTTCTTCCTTGATAGTAGTAATTATATTTTAACATTCATTATTTCTATTTGACAGAGTGATAGATTGCATAAGGTTCTTGACTTTGTAAGTTCTGTGCATGATCTTTGTGCTGTCTTGGGAATGGATTTCTTTAGCACTATAACTGAAGTGCATCCCACTCTGGAGGATTCTATTGGCGTGCAATCTAAGAGTATAAGCAATGATACTTTATCAAATCTTGCTAAGACTGTTGCAGCCCTTGAAGAAGATAAGAAACAAAGATTGCAGAAGGTGCGGATCATTGGTTCTCATTGATTCCTTTTATTTGTATTGTGGAACATATTATACTCTTTTTTTCTTCTTTTTTTTTCCATTATATTGCTAGACTTACGAAAAACTTTCTTTGCATGGTGGGTTCTTATAGTGACTTCAGCGTGTGCTCTATAAATTGTAAATCCCATCTGTTCAAGCCTCTTTTTGGTATTCTTTAATGAATAATATTTCATCATCTTCTATTTTGAAGATCCTGTAATGATGCTATGAAGGTTCCTTTGAGAGTTCCATGAGGATCCTATCTCTTGTGATGATTCTATCAACTTTGATCCAAGCAACGATTGACCCATTTGCCAATCTCTCGACTATCCTCAATCATCATGAAATCTTATTCTAGTGTTGATTGGCCCTGGCCTACAATTTTGTAAAGTTATTAGTCAGCTTTCGGTTTGAATATCTATAATCTTTTTGTATCGTACAGGCCGACGGTTTTTCTTTTCTATGCCATCCTAAATTTGTTGGGGGGTGCTAGTTTTATTATAATATTATATTATCATATTAATATTATTATGTTATTATATTATTATATATGCTTATTATTTATTGAGGATCTATAGTATTTATTATTGTAATATGTTACAATTATTGGGATATTTTTCTTTTTTATTTTTTCTTTATCACTCTCTACTCTTACTTATATATAATCATTTTATTTTGGTACCATAATCAATCGGTAAAGTTGTCATTTGTTATTTATGTCTAATGCACGGTAACGGCAACGTATATGTAAGTTTGAATATAGATCCTTATGTTGTGCATAATTTGCAACTAGCTCCCACACTTCTTGAAATTCATGCTGTTAATCTGTCATTTTGCCTAATAAGCAAGTGGGTCCATTTATGATTTCAAATAATTTCTGGATCGCATATATTTCAGTTGATATTGAAGTGACCTTACTTGCCTTTTCAATAATTTCTGTAGCAGAAGGAATCGATCTCTATTGAATATTAGTATATATATTGCGTAGCTCCTATCCATATGTGGAAAGGAGGGAACAAGAAAGGAATATAAAATAACTTCATTCATATGAAAATTCTGTGATCGCAAATGATATAGATACTTGCTATGTGTAACGTGGAAATGGTGGTATTTCTGTCCCGAATGATTTTCGTACCTGGTGAAAAGGTAAACTTGAAGGCTTAAAAAATTATGGATCTTGATTCAACTAATAAGGAGAATATGTAATGAGATAATAGTGGCATTTCTATCGAAAATGAATTGCGTGCTAGGTGCAAAGTTGAACTTGAAGGTTTAAAAAAATTTATGGATGTTGATGACACCATAATGAAAAACGTGGGATTTATTTTCAAGATTCTCTCTTTTTTTCTCCAGAGTTCGTATAAGAAAAGTACAATGATCTCTGTGATGAATCATATACATAGTTATCATTTTAGGAACCATTTTCGGAGATGTTTTTGCTTAAAGACATTGTTTTTATATTTTTTTCAAGTTGTGAACTGTGTCTCTCTTTCTAAATTTATTAACGAGCTTTCTATTTTCTAGCTGCAAGACCTAGCAACTCAACTATTTGATCTTTGGAATCTAATGGACACTTCAGCTGAAGAACGGAGTCTTTTTGATCATGTCACTTGTAATATCTCTGCTACTGTAGATGAAGTCACTGTTCCTGGAGCTCTTGCCCTTGACCTGATTGAACAGGTTAGCAGTTTCTGCTAGTTTGTTCGGCATTGTATCTGAATTAGGGCATTTACATACATAACACCAAATTCTAATGTATTTACACATCTAACTCCTAAACTTTGACTTTTACATTTATACCACCCAAATCTTTCACTTTCATATCACTTAAAAAAACCACCATTTTGACTTTTAAAAAGTGAAATTACACTTTTCATGCATAGTTAAAGGTGGTAAAAATATAAAAATTAAAGTTTTAGGAGTTAGATATGTAAATACATTGGAATTTATTGGTATGTATGTAAATCTTCCTAAATTTATTAACTTGATGCATCTTATTCAGGCTGAAGTTGAAGTTGAAAGGTTAGACCAGTTGAAGGCCAGCAAGATGAAGGAAATAGCTCTCAAGAAACAAAGAGAACTGGAAGACATATTCGCTCTTGCACACATCGAAATAGATTCGGATGCTGCACAGGAGAAGATAATGGCTCTTATTGATTCGGCAAATATTGAGCCCTCTGAGTTGCTAGCAGACATGGATAATCAGATATCTAAAGCCAAAGAAGAGGCACTGAGCAGAAAGGAAATATTGGATAAGGTTGACAAATGGATGTCAGCTTGTGAGGAAGAGAGCTGGCTTGAAGACTACAATAGGGTAAAATCTTATAATATTTCTATTGCATTCCATTACATGAGATTTATATGAGTTTTAGCTAAATACTGAACTAGCTCTACAAAAGTCAGCTCACTGAATAATTTTCAATTGTATCTGGGAACCGTATTAATCATCAAATCTAATAAAGGCTGTATTTGTTTAGGATGAGAATAGATATAATTCAAGCAGAGGTGCGCATTTGAACCTCAAACGTGCAGAAAAAGCTCGCATATTAGTCAACAAAATTCCAGGTGACTTCTTAGCTTTCAGTCTTAAGTTCAATGTTCTTGTTTTTTTACCTGTAAGTACTGGAATCAACTGGCACAAGTTCTCATAAAGTGAATGTTATATTATGTAAATAAATGAGGCATTTACACACACACTATTCGTATGTATATACATATCTTACACCTAAACATTCAGATTTACATGCATGCCACTCAAATTTTTAACTTCACGTCAAAAATACCATCATCATATCTTTTTAAGAGTGAAATACATATTTTCGTGCATAAATTTATGACACCAATATGTTGCAAGTGTAAATTTTAAACTTTAGGATTTAGATATGTGAATTCATAATAATTGTATGTTATCTATGTATATTTCTCTAAATGATTACTGCCAAATAATTCACGGATTTTATGGAACACATTGGTGTCAACCTAATAACTTTTTTGGAATTATTCATGAATATTTCTCCTGATAACAAAAGCTGCCATTTCTTTAACATTGCTTCACTTGTGGACGCTCTGATGAATTTTGTAATCCTTTAATGCTTCTCTTAGGGTCTGTTTGGCGCAGCTGCAGCTTCCTAGCTTTTTAGCTGCAGTTGTGCTGCCCCAGGAAGCAGCTGCAGGAAAGCAGCTACGGGGAAATTGGTTGTCTGTTTGGTTCAGCTGTGTGAAAACAGCTGCAGAGCAACTATTTCTGAAAAAATGACAATTCTGCCCTTGTTTGGTAAAACTGTTTAAAAAAAGACTGTAACAGTGAAATTTAAGCAAAATTTTTTATGTAATAAATTAAAGCAAAATTTTTTATGTAATTATGTAATAAATGTAATTGTTGGGTAATTAGTTAGTAATTGTTATGTAATAAATTTATGGACTTGATTAATATATTTTAAAATTTTAATTTGTTAGATAGGTGAACATATGAAATAAAAGACTTGTTATAAGAATGCTCTTATACTCGGTAGCATGAATGTATTAAATATATTTTCCATATAGGATTTAACATATTATTAATGAACTAATTAATCAAAATCAATTCAGCTCCAATTTAGGTAAATGCTCCTGTTATAGCTCGCATATATAGAGCATAGAATACAAATGACACGGAACTTTATATGGGGCATATAATACCAAGCAGTTTGGCAAATCAGTCTTGCCCCAAAGAAAAATCAAAAAGATTGCACATTTCAATTAATATATGGGGCATTTACATACATACCACTGCAATATAATTACATACATACTTTAATTGTATAATTTTTGCCAACAACCAATGAAAACCGAGTGTTTGTAATATGGAGCGGGAAGTGGTACTCACAGACTCAGGCTGAACTTCAGAATCGTGATCCAATAGGTAAAAAAGACCTAAAGGCTTAGCTTCAAACTAGCAGTAAAGCTTACCCAACAAAGAACTCCAAATTTTACAATTATTTTAAACTAATTCATGGATGAATACCAGGTACTAAACCAATATATATGTCCAACTGTTGATGCAGGAACCACAAGTCTCCGAAGGTAGCAACAGAGGCCTCATAGACATGAACTGGGCTAATAGAACATCCATGTCTAACCGTCCAACCAAATAACTAGTGCACAGTCTGATAGACATCAGTTGAAAAAACCAAGCAACAGAATCGGTGAAAAACCAATTAATGATAGTAAACCATTGAATTGAAAAACCAAAAAATCAGATAAGTTATGTTGAACCACATAAACTCAGCTGGACTAAAATATTACTCAAATTATTTATTTGCTCAATATTTTTTATTAGTGCCACTGCTATACTCATGATTACAAATATCAAATATAGTTGAAAAGTCCTGAAGATGAAGCCAACTTAAAACAGAAATTGACACTCATTATTGTCATATATCTAAATAAATTTCAGAATTTTCACTCACCGCAAGTCTTTCAGCCCACCATTCCTCGGATGCATCAATTGTTCGCTTTACTGGATCCCAACCAAGACCGGTAGAACCCCTTTTCAATTCCTTTCATATTTTTCATTCTTTCTTCATTTGGTCTCACTTGTTTTTCATTTGCAACATGTCATATTCCCTGTCTGTACATTCTTTGAAATTTTTTATAATGTTTTGTCACCCTTCTTTATTGAAATGGGTCGTTGGTCTATTTCCCCGTTCAATCTCTTTAATACAAAGATCGCAAAATATTATTTTCGTATCTTTTTCCCACAATGCGGGTATAGCAACCTCTTTAGGCTTACTATCCATGTTATTACTATAACAAAATAAAGTCATTAAACACAACAGTAAAATTAATTAGAAAATAGAATAAAGTAAAGTTTAGGTGTTAAATAAATATTTAGGGAATACGCAGTTATAAAATACTGGAGGTTCAGTTAGCTATATGGATGAAACTAGAGTACCTGTAGCAGAGTAAGCTGTGCTGAGAGGGTAGTTGCCTCCGTCTGAAGCGTTTGCACCTTGCGCTCAAGCTCACTAGTAAACATATAAGAATGAAGTTGCATGAAAATCTGCCTAAAAATTATAGCTAAAGACTATTACAATGATAGCGAACAATCACTTCGCAATTAGAGATGCAAATTCATGAATGGGCAAAGAATCTTTTTTTACAAAGTTGAAACTCAAATCTAATTAGGTAATTACAGCCTGAATCAAATTTCTGACAGCAGAATTGAAATCCAAAGATTTACCACATGGGTTTGGTTGAATAATGTATTATCATACACAATAAAGCCATATATATATCCCTTTTACTTTAGTTCATTAATTGAGGGTCAAAATAACACTAAAGAATGCTGAGAATTATTCATAGAAGAGGCACAACAGCTAGTTTAGAAATAGTTTGAAGAATTTCTTCAATGACATGTGAAGACGAAGCTCCGATTGGCTGCGGTGCTGGTCGAGGAAGACGAGTGCAGAAGAAGAAGGCGGAAGAAGAGCGGGGGGAAGAAGAAGGCGGAAGAAGAGCGGGGGGAAGAAGAAGGCGGAAGAGGAGCGGGGGGAAGAAGAAGGCGGAAGATGCGGTCCTGGTCGAGGAAGAAGAGAGGGGAAGAAGATCGCGGGGAAGAAGAAGAACCTGGTCGAATTTGGTTGAATAATGTATTCGGAGGAAGAAGAACCTGATCGCGGGGAAGAAGAAGAGCGCGGGAGGGCTATCCGCGGGATTCGGAGGAAGAAATCGACCCACTCCGGCGATCCGCGGTATTCGGAGAAGAAGATGGCGGGCGGGAGGGCGGGACAAGGCTTTTTGCGAGGGACAAAATAAACCTTTTTCACGCTGCGAAGTTGTGCCGCGGGGAGGATATCGCTTTCCGCTTTTCTTCCGCGTTAACTTTCTTTTGCCGCGAAGCTCCGAGCCAAACAACAAAAAATCGCAATTCAGGGCCGCGAAGCCGCAAAAAAGCGGCCCCAAACGGAGCCTAACTTGTTCGAGTGGCTTTTAATACCCCCCTAATCTGTGCTTGACTAATAATATTGGAAATAACCAACATTTTTGAGCAATCAAACATGATTATATAGTTTGTTTGACTAATAATGTATGCGATTAAGATTTTATGCACAAGTTTTATTTAACCAACAATATTAATCGTTGCTTATATGCCAATCAAATCTCTAAACTAAAATTTTTTTTTCAGCTCTTGTTGATACACTAGTTGCCAAAACTCGGGCTTGGGAAGACAGCCGTGGAATGTCATTCACTTATGATGGTGTTCCTCTTCTCGCCATGCTCGATGAATATGCTCTACTCAGGCAAGAAAGAGATGAAGAGAAACGAAGATTGAGGGTAATCCTAACTTCCATTTATCCCCATCTTATACTATCTTAAAAGTAAAAAATTTAGCATTATTGTCTTTAGAAGTAATTCAGCCATTCTTAGTTTCTCATACTATAAACTTGCTCTACAATGCTAAGAGAAGACTACAGCAGTTCTGGCTGAGAATCACCTTCTTTGTAACTTTATAGGACCAGAAGAAATTCCAAGAGCAGTACAGTACAGATCATCAAGAGTCTGCTTTTGGATCCAGAATCAGTCCTGGTCGAATCTCTGGTTCGAAGAAGGCCATCACGCCTCGTTCCAATGGCGGTGCTTCGAATGGGGCTCCGAATTTGAGTCGAAGGCTTTCGTTGAATCAGGGAGTCAACAGCAATGGTGTGAGATCTGGAAGCAAGGATGGTAGAAGGGAGAGTGCTCGGCCTTCGGCTCCGGTGAACTATGTGGCTATCTCCAAAGAGGATGCAGCTTCTCTTGTTTCTAGTAGTGATCCGCCTGTTTCACCATGACCTTTTTTTTTCCCTTGTAGAATGCGTGATGCTGAGTTATTTTATGTATGGATAAGGTGTGTTATTAGTGGAGTCTTAGAGACTAGGCTGAGGTATTTTATTGATTCGTCTGGAGTAGTGTGTTTAATCTGACGAACTGTACTGATAAAGTAGCTTTGAGTGTTTACCCTGTCTCATATTTATACATAAGCAGTTGTGATTATTGTTCCAGGTGGAAGGTGATTGCTCTTGCTTTATATATTGCAACTCACCTGCAAGGAGATGCTCTTTATATGTGGTTGCAGGGTTAGTTAAGTAGAGGGTCAAAAAACAAGTGGGCATTTAAATGCATTCAACACAATTCTGATGTATTTACATGTCGAACACTTCAAAATTCATATTTATATGCATATGGCTAAAATCTTTAGCATCACATTACAAATACAATCACACTATCGATTTAAAATTAAAATGTGCATTTTATTTGCTTTTCTTCATTGGACCGGGTCGGTTCCACATTGGACACCCCAACGCCATAAAAATGCTCCATATATAGCTTGTCTTTCTTAATTTTGTAGAAATATGGGGCAGTTTTAAAGTGAAGGTATTTATGCTGAGTGAGAAAACATTCATTCATGTAATTCTTGGAAGTCTTAAAAATGCTACATATTGATCTGGAAAATAATGGTATAGAAATTGAATTTTCTTTCCTACTTCAAAATAAGATTGGTAAGAATTTGATCTTCCGTGGATTATAAATTGTTCAATCATCAAAGCTTGAGATTAATCATTAGATAATTTTGACTATGACTATAGATAGTATTTTTCTGTGGAGAATGCGTGGTTATTAGTAGAGTATGCTTTGAGATTTAGCTAGTTTAATTCATAGTCATTTAATCGTAAAATAATAACAATGATAATAATAATAATTTATAAATATAAATGTATGCATTATATATTAATAATTGAATGGATCTTGTAAAAGATAATTCTTATGATGGATGATTAAGGTTGCATTAACCCATTTCAAAACTATACATATGTTTTGTATATATTGAAATCAACGAATAATTCAAGATGTTTTAAGATCAATTATTAAAGATTAAATTAGAGGAAATCATGAATATTATTTATTACAAAATTTTATTCAATAGATCATTGGATGGCTTGTTACTTTGATGTATAAAGCCTCAGTATGTATAGCATTTATGGAAAATCGTGCCTCAGAGCGAGGAGATCTTTGGTGATTTCCTACAAAGTAAGAGATAAGTGTGCCCTTCCTTGTTTGGGGCATAGTTCTTGTTACCTTTCGGTGTGTTTTATTATTTATGATTATATATGAAATGTTCTTATTTAGCTAACGTATTTCATATTTTCATGTTGATATGACGTGATGGTTGGCTTTACCTTGACTAATTGTCAAACAAATTTTATACATTCAATTTATCATAGTAGTTAAGATATTTAACTTCGCATTACTCATGTTAAATGCAAAGCCTTTTAATTCTTATCAATTATGGTTATAGATATGCATAACAATGACTCATTGTTGATAATATTCTTGAATATGTTTGGCATGCAATGCATGAAATGTGCATAATTTCTATATTTTCCTTTGCAGCATGCCCAAGGATTGAAGCGGTAGGAACCGTGAGGAAGAGGTGGAGAGAGAAAGAGAAGGTGTGCGACGACTTGCCCTGCTGGGTAAATTGGGGTATTCCTTGTATTTGTGGCCCATTTTATATATTGAAAATAGATGTTACAAGAGTGAATGTGAGAGAGTCTCCCTACAGAAGAAGGGTCTAGAAAAAAGAGCCTAAAAGTTATTAATACATGGTATGCCCCCCCTATTTTTAAGAGAGAGGGACAAAAAGATAAAATTATATGTTTTACCCCTATTTTAGAGGGGTCGCACAAGGTATTATTATCTTTTTGCCAACCTGGACCATTTGCTCAGCAGGTCCTTGAGTCAACTAACTGAGCTGGTTTCAACGGATTTTGTCAGGGAACCAGTCAGCTTTCGTTTCAGGAAGCTAGTTGGTTCTTGAGTGTGGTGATCAAATAGCTTTCTGGTGGTTGATCATCCTGCTTAATTATTGCTCCTTGTCGATTTTTTTATGATCTTTGGGGAAAGTTGTAGAGAGAGCTTTGAGTTGATACTTATTAAATTTTTGGAGATGCTAGACCATTGTCCGGTTGTTTATTTTAGATGGATCGGCATGGGTGTCACTCCCTTGTCGGCCTAGATTTCCCTTTGGTTAGGTGGCAGTTAGTCAGTTGTTTTTCAGATTCATGACACCTTATAGCTTTTCATCAAGGGGGATACTAGTCATATTCTCTTTGATTTTGAGCATTATAATGTCTCGAAATTTGTGTTGATATATTTTTGGATTACGAGTTCACTAAATATACAATTAATTGAAACAAACTGAAGGACGAATGTTGAATTAAAAATTAACACAAAGGATGGATGAAGCAAACCTATTTAGTATGATACCCACATCATCGTTAGTAGTTATATGTAACTTTATTTTGATATATTTTTCTAATCCATGCCTTCAAAAATCAAATAATGGCGAACTTTTAAGAATCTTGAAAGGAAAATTACCATAATAAGCAAAAAGGTTATGAGTGTGCATTTTCAAGTAATTATAGTTATATTGATGTATGATAGTGATATTTTAAAGTTTAGTGAATTTAATTAAAGCTACCCTTTAAATCGATATCTTAGAAAAACTTCTTAACCATCACTAGATAAAGATGCCCATGAAACAATTTCTTAAATAGAGTGAACTCAATCGGTGTTAATAACTAAGATCATCGTCGTTAATTTAAAAGATAATAGAGAAAATTAAAGCATCCTCAAGCTCATAAAGCTGCCCACCGCCAGCCCCCAATCGTTTGCCTCTTTCAAACTGTTGTCGTTGCCGCCCTCCGTCGCCATCATCTATGGTATTTTGTATTGATTTCATTTTTCTTCAAATAAAATGCAAAAATTTAAAGGCTTGTATTTGTTTTACAACAATCCAGACATATCTAAAGTATTTCATATACATTACATTTCAATTACGACACATTTTTTTAAATTAGAGTTCCTTTTTCAGCAAATCAAATGGCTCCTAAATCTCAAATTTAATGAATTCATATGTATATACACAAATATCGATATACGGGAATTTCAGAGTTAAATTTTGTCCCGTCAAACTAGCTCACATATCAAAGTGGTTGAATCAAGCTCAGTTGTTGAGGTGACTAAATTGAGCCCTCTTGCCAAAATAGTTGAAACAAGTCCACTCGTTAAATTGATTCAATCGAGCGGATCTATATAAGAGAAACTATCAGAAGAAGTCATGATGTCTAGTAGAATGCCATGTGACTGGCAAAGATACTCATTCTTCTCTTATTTAGGAACGTCGTCTGTTATTGGGGATTTTGTCCCATCACTCAGATACTGGTGATAGTCGACATACCTACAGTTTTGACATTAGTCGGCAATATGTCACAATCTCAACACCACTATCCTAACAAGATGTCAGGAGAAGGTCAAAGATGTAGTATGTGATATACTATTAAGATTAGTATAGAGCTTGCTCCTCTTACATGTATAAAAGCAGGGAGAGATGATAAGAAAAGGACATTAGAATCTAGGCTTCTTCCCTCCTCTGAATTCTCATCTTGATCTTCAATTAAGGGATCATTCTCTCCTCTCTTCAACTCTTTTGGGTACTCTTCTCGTAGCACATGAATTTCGATCAAGTTGTATGTACTCAAGAATACTACAGGACACTGCTGCTTAAAAAGGATTCAACAATGAGAAAGTAAGATCCAAACAACTTGTACCACTTCTACAAACTATGTATCTTCTTTTTCTTCATTTAAAGTTTAAATCTTAAAAATATATGTCAAAGGAATTTAACTAAATTAACATGACTCATATCAAAAAATTTTATAATATTTATTTTCTATTATAGTTTGTCTAATTATTATTATCTATATTTGTCTATTTTCAATGGTTTGATCGTGAGACGTGTACATGCTCATATTACAGGTCAAAAAAATAATCTAGGGTAAATTCATAAATAACAAAATTTTGAGTGATATACACGTAATTCCTTATTTGTAGTTAAACATACATAAAACACAGATATAAAAAAAGTACTATGGCCTTATATTTGTAGAATGTCAACCGCAGGAAAAAAAAACACTGGTTCATGTATTATGGCCTGAATTCCTTAAGCTTGTTTTAAAGTTAATTTGATTTTTGATGATTTCAATTTCAGACGATTGTTGCGAGTTTAAGAGTAATTTGGTTAGGGAGATTTTAATGTACTGTATTCCAACTAAATGGTTTTGAAATTTCTAATATTTGATTAGTTGATTATATTTTCAAAACATTGTTTGACAGATATGAAACTTATTTTTAGTTTATTTCCATGTATTTTGAAATTAGTTTATTCTACAATTTCAAAATATGCAAAGTTTGTTGCCCTCCATTGACCACATAGGCCCGTTAAAGCTTGTCTTTGTAAGTCCACATCACAAAGTGTTTTTCCCCTCACATAATGAAGATCCCGTCATAGTGAGCTCCTATTATAAACTCCTCTTTTTTACACATAGTCATGATGCTCATCATCCCCCGTCTCATAAATTTCCATCACAATGTAGGCTCCTAACAAGCCTATGAGGCCAACAATGCTTACCCAATGAATTGCCTTCACAAAGTCTTCATCTTCTTCATAGACTATGAGCCCTAGCAAGCACCCATCAAAATGTCCTCATTTAATTCACAGGCCATCAATCCCTGGCCAATTATATCCCATAGTGTTTTCAGGTTTATTTTTTGTTGGAGAATCTGCTGCCAAGAGAACCGCTGGACAGCAAAACGGGAAAAAGAAAACTGCAAAGAAAATGCAAACAAGAATGTCGATAGCTTATGTTATTCAGTTCATAAGATCTACATTCACGGGAAGGAATTAAAAAACAATTCACTTGGACAATCTTGAAGATTACACCGCACAATTTCAATAACAAACCAATCTCGTCCAACTCTCTAGAGATCTTGATCTCAATACAAACTTTCTTGATTTCTCGCCTTGCTCTCATAATTTTTCTCCCTCTTGACCCTCTCAACTTATATACATCATTACATAAGACCTACATTCACGGGAGGAAATCAAAAAATAGTTCACTTGAACAATCTTGAAGATTACACCGCACAATTTCAATAACAAACCAATCTCCAACTCTCTATCGATCTTGATCTCAATACAAGCTTTCCCTCACCTTGCTCTCATAATTTTTCTCCCCCATGACCCTCTCAACTTATATAAATCATTACATATATAGAGACAATGATTCATACAAGATGACCGATTAAACACTTGTCATAGCCAAATGACTAATGTACCTATTAGCTATAGAAAATCTCTTTATAAACTATGGCATCGTCTTAATTCACCTAATTGAGAGTCATCATAACATCTTTTTAATGAAATATAAAAAAATAATACCCTATGTTTCACATACATTATATATAGTTGAAAGTACCTTTAGAATACTCAACTATTAAGTATTTGCAAACAAATAGCTGTTTAATGGCTAGGATAAGATGAGTCTATCTCTAAATTATGGTCAATGTAGACGAGCCGTTCTGTGTATAGGATAAGATAAGAACAACTCTAAATTATGTTCATTGTTGTCATATATTCCTTAAAATCCATTTTCGTTGAACAAGGCCAAGCAGATATTTAGGTCACGAAAACTAAACTAACGCAAAGAACATTAGAACAGTAAATTAAATCCGGAAATTGAAAGACATTAGGAAAAAGTACTGCTGACCAACACAACATTGAAGTCAGCAAAAACTAAAGCTTTGAAAGAAAACTCTTAAGTTCCAATTCCACTCTCAAAACATTCCCGATAGAAGTCTGCAATTTAGCTAAGCGAGCAAGCTTGCCTTTACCTTCACGAAGCTACAAAGCTTAAAACTGAACTGAAGCAGATTATCAGTCCACCTCCTCCATCTTGCTTCCCTCAGCATCCTCCTCGAGAGTTGGCATGTCAGCATCACCATCGCCAGAAGCTTCTTCCTCATCCTCATCAATGCTCAGACCAAGCTTGAGCATTCTGTGAATCCTGTTGCCAAAGGTGTTGGGATCGTCCAGGCTGAAGCCAGATGTTAGAAGAGCAGTCTCAAAAAGAAGCAACACGAGATCCTTCACAGACTTGTCATTCTTGTCAGCATCCGCTCTCTTTCTGAGTTCCTCCATTATCGGATTCTCTGGATTGATTTCCATTGTCTTCTTGCTTGACATGTAACCAGACATGCTGGAGTCCCTAAGAGCCTGAGCCTTCATGATCCTCTCCATGTTAGCACTCCAGCCATACTCCCCAGTCACAAGGCAGCAAGGGGAATCCACAACACGATCTGAAACAACCACCTTCTCCACCTTCTCACCAAGGACGTCCTTGATTACCTTACACAAGCCCTCAAACTTCTGTTTAAGATCTTCACTCTTCTTCTTCTCATCCTCAGTCTCATCAAGCTTCAATCCCTCCTTGGTTGCAGAAACCAACTTCTTGCCTTCGAACTCCTTCAGTTGCCCTACAGCATATTCATCAATGGCATCTACCATATACAGAACCTCATAGCCCTTCTTCTTCAATTTCTCTAGGAAAGGGGAGTTCTCAACAGCCTTCTTGCTCTCTCCGGTGATGTAGTAGATATCTTTTTGACCCTCCTTCATCCTTGTGACATAGTCCTTGAGGCTGGTCAACTCATCTCCACTTTTGGTGGAGTTGTACCTCAACAGTTCCGCTATCTTTGACCTGTTTTGACTATCTTCATGAATGCCAAGCTTGAGGTTCTTTGAGAACGCTTCATAAAATTTGTTATAATCCTCCTTGTTCTCAGCAATCTCAAAGAAGAGCTCAATGCATTTTTTAACGAGGTTCTTGCGGATAACCTTCAGTATCTTGTTCTGCTGCAGCGTTTCTCTAGAGATATTCAAGGGAAGGTCTTCAGAGTCAACGATACCCTTGACAAAGCTCAAGTGCTCCGGGATTAGCTCCTCGCAATTGTCCATAATAAAAACACGCCTGACGTAGAGTTTGATGTTGTTTTGCTTCTTCCGAGTATCGAAAAGATCGAAAGGTGCTCTCTTGGGAACAAAAAGTATGGCCTTAAACTCAAGCTGACCCTCTACAGAGAAGTGCTTGCAAGCAAGATGCTCCTCCCAGTCATTCGTGAGGCTCTTGTAGAAAGCAGCGTACTCTTCCTTCGTGATCTCTTCAGGCTTCCTCATCCAAATGGGCTTCTGCTTGTTCACCAGGGACCACTCGTGGGAGACCTCCTTGATCTTCTTCTTCTTCTTTTCTTTCTCTTCGTCAACATCCTCAACTTTTCCTTCTTCATCTTTCTTCTCATCCTCATCCTCATCGTCAGAGATCTCTTTCTCGGTGGTCTTTTCAGTCCACAAAGAGATGGGATAACTGATAAATTCAGAATGCTTCTTGATGAGATCCTTTAGGCGGCGTTCTTCAAGGTATTCCAGCTTAAAAAAAAAAGATTTGATAAGCAAGGATTCATAAAAATTACATAGAAAAAACATCAAGAAATATATTTTCACTTATTAAAACTCATCTCAAACATTGTCAAATGTACAATCATCATATAACTAGTTAAGTACTAGAACTAAAAAGTCTACATTTTCCATTGGAAGAAATGAACGAAAGCTTCTGTGAAGTTTTGTGAGTCGTATAATTGGCTGAGTAATATCAATTTAAAAATTTTGGAGAACTAAAAGTAAGAAGTAACATGGCTCACAAAATATTCTCAACTTAAAAATTCAATCTAAGTATAAAGACATGATCAGATAACTAAATCTCTCTCCATACATTTGAAAAATATCGAAATGTAATCATGTGTAGCATGAAATTTTTACCCATAAATTTTCTCAACAAATATATATATTATAGAATCTCTGCTATGGTAAACAGGTGTACTTTTTGTAGCAATATAAATAAATTGCAGACAACCTAAACTAACACAAATTACATAGATAACTCATTGCCATATTAACATATCAGAGTACTTACTCCCAGCTTGCCTAACAAGATACATCGCCTGCTAAAAAAACGTCAATAATTCCACACTAATCAGCAAAAAGTTCATAGAAATATACAAGATCTATCACAAAAGAAGGCTGACAGCTCTCAGAAAGCTATCTTTCATGCAATCTGATCAACAGAAAATTAATACAATTAAAGCACAAAGGTGGATAATTAAAAAATCAATTAAAAGCTTACAGAATAAAAGATAGTCAATACCTGATCATCCTTAAGGAAAAGTGTTATCTTTGTCCCGCGTCCCAAATTCTCACCAGACGTATCTCTCGTCACAGTGAAAGATCCTCCAGCCTGCGACTCCCACACGTACTGCTCGTCGTCATTATGCTTGGTAGTCACTATAACCCTCTCAGCCACCAGATAAGCAGAGTAAAAACCAACACCAAATTGACCAATCATGCTAACATCAGCTCCAGCAGCCAGAGCCTCCATAAACTCCTTGGTTCCTGACCTAGCAATGGTGCCGAGGTTGTTAACAAGATCAGCTTTTGTCATGCCAATACCGCTGTCGATGATAGAGAGCGTGTTACTAGATTTATCCGGAACGATATGGATGAACAACTCAGGCTGGGCATCGAGCTTGCTCTTATCCGTTAAACTTTCGAAACGGATCTTATCCAGAGCCTACAATGAATCGACAAAAACAATATAAGAATCATGGATTGGGAAAAAAAATAAGGCATGTTACATCATATGGGCATAGAAGGAATCGATACATCGGAAGCGTTGCTAATAAGCTCTCGCAAGAAGATTTCCTTATTGGAGTAGAAGGTGTTGATGATGAGACTGAGAAGCTGGTTGATCTCAGCCTGGAATGCAAAAGTTTCGCCCTCAGCCGCCATGGCCGAAGAAAAGCCCAGGATATCTAAGCGGTAACAAAAAGATGAGATCGGAAGGGAAGCAAGAGCAGCAGACCAGGAGTACAGTGGAGGTAATTAGGGTTACGAAATGGTGGGTGTTTTATAGGAAGGAGGGAGAGCTTCTAGATTTTTCCAAAATCCTAGCCGTCCGATGTTGCAGAAACCTAACAACAGCAAATCATGTGCGATTTTTTTTTTTTTCTTTTAATAGAGTTTTTTAAAAGATTATGATTTAATTTCTACTTAATATTTTTCATTACTTTGTGCACGGAATTGATCAGATTGTTACTTTTGATCTGAATATACTATGAAATTACAATCTAAGCCTATGGGATAATATACATATATATATATATATATACATATATATATACATGTATATATATATATATACATATATATA